TGTCTTGCTAAAATTGCTGTGTCGTCTGCATATGTCGCTGTTAAAATGTTGGGACTACAAGGTATGTCATGGGTGTATGTGATATAGAGTAGTGGAGCGAGTACTGAACCTTGAGGTACTCCTGCTGAGATAGACCTGATGGAAGATAGTTCTGACCCGGTCCGAGAAAAATCTATCGGAAAGGAAGGATTGTAGAATTAGATAATATGTAGGTGGGAGTATTGTCTTGAGTTTAAAGAGAAGACCCTGGTGCCAAACTCTGTCAAACGCTTGAGCAACATCCAGAAATACGCCAGTTGCATATACTTTCTGCTCTAGTGCTGTAGATATGTAGTCCGTTACTCTATGTAGTTGGTGTATAGTTGAGTGATGTGCCCTAAATCCAAATTGATGGTCAGGTATTATTTGGGTGTTTGTTAGTATATCAACAAGTCTTTTGTTCAGTAAGCTTTCAAAAATTTTGGAACAGATAGGTAGTAAGCTGATTGGTCGGTATGAGGAAGGTGAGTTTTTTTCCTTTTTAGGCTTTTGAATCATTATTATATGTGAGTATTTCCACTGTAGGGGAAATTTAGTTGTCCTCAGTATTGCATTATAAATAGTTGTCAAAAGCACTAGAGCTTTTCTAGGCATTTGTTGGAGCACTTCAGCGTTAATCAAGTCATGTCCAGGAGCTTTTCTTTTAGGCAACTTTTTGATTTGTTCAGCAATCTGTGAAGGTGTGAATGAAATAGGAGGTGAAGTTAGTTGTAAGGGCATGTCTAAAGTGTTTAGTACGTTGTTATCGTGCACAGTGTTAGTGAAGTCTGTGTGTGGTACAAAAACAGAAGAAAGATATTCGGCAAAGAGTTCTGATTTTTCTCCGTCCGTCACGGCCCAGGAATCATCTTGTCTTCGAAGGGGTGCTGACACTTCACGATGCTTAATAAGGTTTTTGGTATGTCTCCACAAGCTTCCATCGTCGGTTGAGAGATTTCTGATGTAGTTGTCATAGGTTGTTCGTTTGAATTTTCCAATCTGTCGCTTGAGTTCATTATTAAGTCTGTTGTAAGTTCGTTTATCTGATGGGAGTCTGTCAGTCTGCCATATTTTGCGAGCTCTCCTCTTCGCTCTGATCAAGTCCCTTATGTATTGTGGGTACATTGGTAGGAACTCATATTTTTGAGGTTTTGCTACTGATGAAGACCATGCTGCTTCTTGGATATTTCGTGTGAAGTATTCAACGGCATCCTCAAGTTCTTCTTCGTTTTTAATGGATAGAGGAACAGAGAGAGCAGTGTCCAATTGGTTCCTGTACCTGTCCCAATCCATTATGCCATTGATCAGGGACAGTTTTTTTGTAGCTTCACAAGGCTCTTCAAACAATACCAAATGCAAAAGGGAATGATCAGAGCAAAGATCTGAACTCGTTGTTATAGTGTGAGGTGTTGTTCGGAGTCCTTTAGTTATGAAAAAGTCGAGTAAGTCTGGTGTTTTCCGTCTAGAAGTTGGCCAGTACGTGGGTGAATTAGGTGATATTGTGTCTAATGAAAGCTCATAAAGAACATAACTAAGATTCCTTCCTCTTGGAGTAGATAGTCTGGATCCCCAGAACTGATCTTTGGCGTTGTAGTCGCCTCCTGCAACAAAGCATCTACCAAGACGTTTAAAGAAATTACTAAACATCATGGGTGTCAGAACATACCTCGGAGGGCAATAAACCGCAGCAAGAGTAATGTTTTGTTGTTGTGTTGATAGTTTAATGGCTGTAGCTTGAATCTCTGGTGTTATGGGTAATTGTAAAGGATTGTGTTTTAGAGTTGTTTTGATAATTATGGCAGTGCCTCCATGTGAAGTTCCATCTGGGTGGTCAGTTCTGTAGATTTTGTAACCATGAATGTAAAATTTAGAATGTGGTGTCAGATGTGTTTCTGTTATTAGTGCAATGTCAATGCGTTTCTCGTGTAAGTATATGTCTAGTTCGGTTCTATGTTGATTCAGTCCGTTTGCGTTCCATAGTATAATAGACATGGAGCCCACAGTCGTCTGATTACGGGGCATATTTTTGGGTAAGAGCGAGAGTAGCCTGAGATAGCTGTTGTAGAAGACTGAAGAGGGGCTGTATGAGGTTATTGAGACCGCTAATCAAATGTATGATATCATCTTAGGAGGTTTCAATAGTAGGGAGCGTTTGGGCAATGATCCTACTCATACCTTTAGGCCTTTGTTCTTGGTTTGTTGCCGGTGCTGGTTTTCGTTGCTGTCTCTGCTGCTGTTGTTCTGGTCCTGAGGGAATCGGATGAGGGTATTGAGGCTGATGCAGTTGTGGGAACTCGTGTAGTTCTGGTGGTGGGGGTTGAACTCTAGGAGGCCTTTGCAGATTATGGTTTCTTGTGCGGGTCTTCCTAAGCTCTTTCAGAGTTTCGCAACCTCTGTAGTTAGCAGGATGTGGTCCTTGGCAGTTCGCACATTTTGCGACTGTTTCTCGAGTCTTTGTACAGGAAGTGCTTTCGTGACCCATACCACACCTTACACACCTCGGCTGGTGGTTGCAGTACGTCTTGGTATGGCCATACTGCTGACAACGTACGCACTGCGGAATGATCCTTTTTTTCCTTGGCTCTTCGATCTTCACGTGTGTGTAATACAGGAATTCAATGTTGAAAATTTTATCATTGAACGTTGCTTTTGACACATCAACGAAAAACATTGGCAACGGTGTTTTGAATCTTGATATAACATTTACGATGTTGGTTGCCTCGTAACCATAGTTGGCAAGTTCCTGTTTTATGGTCGCTGGAGGTGTGGCGTGGTGTAAATTTTTAATAACTATTCGAGGCGTTTTATCTTCCGGGAGTTGATATGTGTGAAAATCAGCTCCACTCCTTCTAAGACTGGTCACTAACCTACGGTATATTTCTGCGTTTTCTGGATACACGCTGACTCCTCTCATAGACGTTTTCAACCTGAAACTGTTAGGGCCACCTTCATTGTGAAGATAGGTTACTAATGCCGTGTAGTCTTTCACATCGTTTATGTGAATAGGTGGAGGTCTAATAATAATGGGATTATTATTTGCTGGCTGTCTATCTTCCGAAGTATTTGATAAAACTTCGAATCGATTGTTAGTAATAATAGTATCACTAACCTTTATTTGTTTATGACGTGGATCTCTGTCTGAAGCTACATGTCGTTTTCGTCCAGACACAAATTCCCAGGACATAGCTTCTGGTGCATTATCGTGGTTGACTTCAGTTGGTGAATCGTTTGAAGCCGAAGTTTCCGTCATTTTCAGCGGAAGAATCCGCTACACCAGTAATTTTACTTCAATTGATTGCACTTATTTAACTCACGAATATGGAAGAGATAAAGGAAATCAACATGCAGTTAATTGACTTAAACTTGTGATAATTCAATAGAATTTGGAGAGAGAAATACTTAATATATAAAAAAGAAAAGCATTCATACTTAATTTACATTATTTACAATTAGTCAAGGGAGCTCCGAGTCCAGCCCTTTCCTCCACGTGTGAAGGACAAGGCGAGACTCTAAGAGATCCCAGCGCTTCTCTCTCAGCCACTCATGCCGTGAGTGGAGAGGCTGGCCATTGCCAGAACTCCAGTGACAGTCTTTACAAAAGGTCTCGAGGCCACTGCCGTTTCAACCTTCGAGGAGATTGTAGGGGTGACTGGAGCTGGATAAGGATTGTGCTAAGGAGTTAGGATGGTGGATTAGGTTCAGATGAAAATTTGAGAATCAGGATGTTATAACGTCAAGGACATAAGGGATGTAAAGGTCATGATGTAAGGTTTTGTTTGTAACATAATAAGGAGAATTGACTATTATACGGAGGACTTTAGACTGAAAGGATTGGAAGCGTTTGATGTTCGAAAATTTAGTTGTCCCCCACAGTTCAAGTCCGTAGGTCCAGATGGGGTAATTATTTAAACATTTGGATATGATCGCTAGTGAAAAGGCAGCTTTTTTTTAATGGATCGTTGGAATTCTATTCTACTTCAAACGACGTTACGTGCTGATTAGCTTATTATCAAGTCATCAAACAATTTCTTATCTACTGAAATGTATTTCAATTTTATGATTTCATTGAACGCCTTTTTGTAGTACACTAAATACCAAAGATAACCATATTCCTCGCCTTCCTATTCCTTAAACTTTTGCGCATTTATTGATGCTTGTCATTCCCGCACAGTACTACATACTTTTTAAGATTGACTCCAATGTTAAAAATAAATATAAAAAACAAATAGTCAAAGTTAAAAAGTAGACGAAGAAGGTTGTTACCGTACGGGAAGGACATGCATCAATAAATGCGCAAACATTTTAGGAATATGGAGACGAGGAATATAGTTATCTTTGGTATTTGGTGTACTAGGAACAGATGTTCAATGGATTCATAATATTGAAATACATTTTAGTAAATAAGACATTTCTTGCTGACTCGATAATGAGCTAATCAGATCAAAACGTCGTTAGAAGTACAATAAAAAAGTTGAAAGTATAAGTGTTTATTCCTTGAAGACACCATATATAAGATAATAGTAGCGTTTCTCTAATAATAATAATACATTAGTCCATTTGCTTTAATTTTTTGATAAAAACGAATTTATTGTTGCATGTAATTATTAACTATAACTGTGCTGACTCTTAAACGTCCGTGGGGTAGAGCGAACCGATGGTGGAAAGATTGGGTTGAGACCTATCAGAAAGGAATGGTGGAGAGAGGTGTGTAGTAAGTGATTAGTGGTGTCGGCATTGAGCCTTCGGGCTCGCTAAGCCTTTTATTATCAATTATTAATCAATTTTATTAGAGGTGTGAGCCATTTTATTTTGGTTAGCTTTATTTAAAACAATTGACGTGAGGTGTACTTTCTCCAGCTTAGATTTGTTTAATTATATTAGAAATAAACATTATCATCCATCATATTGTTTTCACTCTTATTAACAAATAATTCATCATATTACATGGGAAAATAAGAATGATATGGAAAATAATTCATCCATTGAATTAAAAGCATGAGTTTATTGGAAGATGATTACAAGAATATGATTATTAAAGATGTATTAAATAGGCACTTAAGGCATGCAGAAACAATAAATTATACTATATTTAATAAAATATAAATGCAAATTTATAATATTAAACTGTAATACAGCAATTTTTCCATTAAGAGCTCCCGCTGACAACATATTACAATCACTAAATCTTTGGTATTAGAGCTCAATTTATTTAATTTAGATAATTCTTATCGAAACCATAAATTAATAATAAAGGAACAAGCAATGCTGGAGATTAACAATTAAAGCTTTATATCCGTCATAACATTACTTAAAATATACTTAATCGATTAAAGAATTATATACTAAAAATATATAAAGACAGTTCAAATAAAGTTATACTATAAATAACTTATGTATATGCTACTTAGCATTAACTATTTTACTATACAAATAAATAAAAAAAAATGCATTATAATAATAAAAAAAAATTTCGTAAGTTGTTAATTATTGAATAACCATACACTTTTTTTTTTATAATTTAATGCAAAAGTTATGTTTTGTTGCCAATCTGTTTATATTCCAGCATTAATATTTATTTAAACAATTTTTATAAAACTCAAAAAAATTTACGAAAATTCAAACAAAAGCTTGTTAACTGTTACATTGGTATCGGTGAATTATTATAGTTGCTGTGATTTAAAAAAAAATCTACAACTCTATGAATTAGACTATTTTATAAAGTATCAAAAATATGATGATTAATATTATATCATAACTAAATTTTTAGCATAACAAATATTGCATTCAAGAGAACATATATATCTCATTATAATGCTTAAAAATACATTTCAAATTATGTAAGTTTATTTTTTTTTTTAATTCTGCTTATTCACTTTCTTATGGGCTTTACAAGACTCAAAAGTTTGATGTAAATCAAACGCACTGGCTAGGAACATAAAACACCAATGAAATAAAGTATGTTTTCTTATCATTATTACAAATATTGGTAGACGCTAATATATATAAAAAGTTTGAAAAAAAAAAGAACGCTACACCTAAACTATTAAAAAGTAACTACCTTAAATATTACATTAATAAGCATATGTTTCATAAGTATCCTTAAGTTTTTTACCTAAAATATATGATTAAAATGTAAAACTAATAATAATTCTAAACTTGGACCCATGTAACACACGTTTTTCGATGTTATATGTTGAGATAAGATAAACAAAATAAGAATAGAAAATAGACACAACTTAATGGGTGCAAAGTGTCGTTAGTCAGCGGGAGCTGAATGGTATTTTAAGACATTTTAGTATTCGTCGCCTTCATCTCCTTCCCCTTCAGTCGAGTCTACGGCCACTTCTTCGTAGTCCTTCTCAAGGGCGGCCAAATCTTCACGAGCCTCCGAGAACTCACCTTCTTCCATACCTTCACCTACGTACCTGGAAAAGAGAAGTGAAGAATAAATACACGGCCTTCGTTCTGACTGTAAGTAAAGAGGTTGGATTGGTACAGAATACTTTGACTGCTATTTTTAAAAACTTTTGGTACCAGCTTTTCATTCGTTGAGGAGTCATTAGATAATGACCAAACAGTGTTTATTTCCAACATACTGTTGGATTTTTCGTCTAGTAACCGAATAACTGACCATGAAGACTAGCTACAATTGCTCACCATAAACATTTTCTCCTGAGTAAGTTCGTCCAAATTGAAGAGAAATACCACTTCTTACCTGAAAGCTATAAGAAAATATAGAATATAGATAGAATGATAAGAAATAAAAAAATAACGGAACTGGAAAAACATGAAAATTCGAAGGCAATTTATCCACAATAAAACAAATTTCTTCTGGTGAACCGTCCCTTTACCACGAATCATTAAATTAAGGTGCATGTAGCATTCGTCAGTTGAAAGAGTGCCAAGAATTGAAGGTTGGCAATTTCGCCTTAATTAGATTTCAGAGAGAAAACAGAATTTATTTTTTTATGTGTGCATTGCATAGAATTTTTTATAAGAATCCAAGAGAAATTTTCATATATAAGAAATATTTGACCCTAAAATCACGCTCGCTAAGACACTATCTGTACTTATGGATGATGGTGTGCCACACGTGCCATTGTATGACATTATTTATACTTTATCCAAATTCAGGAATAGAATGCTAATATGACATGTAAAAAAAGTAAGCTGAAAATAATTGTAATATTATTATTACATTGCCTTTGAACACATTAAAGTACAGATGTAAATCCATTATAGTAAATATTTATCTGATCTTTATCTGACAACAAAAGTAATTTATCGTTCGTTCATTTCGAATTGCATTTAGTATTCCATAGTTTATTGTTTGTAGCAACTATTTTTCAGTATTGTGAACATATTGCTCATATTATTTCTTTAATATATCTGTATAGTTATGTAAATACTTCTGTTATTACTTATTTTTTTATTATAATATGCATTTTGGCCAGATGTTATGTTAATTTTTATGTACAATATTGTTATTCTTAAGGGACTTAAGAATAAAGTTGTCCCAGAATAAAGTCGATTCTTCTATTTTATAATAATTTAATTACGATTAAGTTATGCATTAAGAAAGAAATTCTAAATTTTAAATAATTTTATTTCTAACAGTTTTCCACCTTCCTCACTTTTTCAGCTATGAGAGAATAGGGCGAAAGTATTTTCCCAGAACGGGAGGGAGGGCGGAGGATCAATGCCTGAATTAAAATCTCTTCAGCGCCGAGATTCGAACTCTTCTGTTTCTTATCTAGTAATCTTCTGTCTAGCAGGTCCCCGGGCAATGCGTATTTTTCACCCTCGTTAGCCGCACGGCCCCCCATTATATGAGATATTTTAAAAGATACTAAAGGTATTGCATAAAGCAGATGTTTTTTTTACCCAACACAGTGTTCCCATATAGGTGTCTCATTCCTCTCTTTGAAAGAGATTTTTATTTCGTAACTTTCGGAAAATAAACATTAAAAGAAAAAAATAAATAAATCGCTAATATGTAAACCAATGTGTACATGGAGTAAAAGAAATAAATGGTACATAGCACATAAATTCGAAAATAAACACAAAAAAAAGCGTAAATCACACCAATCTTTTCCACTATCCTCTCAACATTGAAATTGAAAATCCCTGTTTAATGTTTTTTTTTTTTTTAAATCGCACGTACCAGTGGACGAAAGCCCTCTTGGCATACATGAGATCGAACTTGTGGTCCAGCCTAGCCCAGGCTTCGGCTATCGCCGTGGTGTTGGAGAGCATGCAGACAGCTCGCTGTACCTTGGCCAAGTCACCACCTGGTACCACAGTTGGAGGCTGGTAATTGATGCCGACCTGGAAAAGACACAATACAACAGGTTCCTGTAATTACTTCAACTACTACTGAAAGTATACAGAAAACAATGACTCAAGATAAGTTGCTTAAAACCAGCACTTCATCTTATGATATCAGCATTAAATACCCGTCTTCATAAAACAAAACCAGTACAGTAAACTTTTTAAATGTCTTTATGTTGAGAAACGTGAAATTTCTGTATCGAATACTGGCTCTAGCACACAGTCTAAGATTTTTAGAGTGAATCTAATTAAATAAACGAGCGTAAGTGTTATTTCGTGATTTCAACTCCTGTTTGCTAGTTTTTCTTTAGTGAAATTCAATATAATAAAAAGATGAAGAAGGGTCCGTAAAACACAGGACCAAATTTTACTATCCATAATTATGGAAAAATTGCGAAGTCAATAATGTCAAATTATTAAATTCTTATGAATTCGTGGTTGCGAAACATTGTGTAACCATCAGTGTTCAAATTAAAAAATAATTATCACCTAAACATTAAAATGGACAAATGAAATGCAAGTTATCGCGAAGCAATTTTCAACTTACTATATTTTATAGTACACTTTAGAGGGTTAAAAAAAAATCCAAGTATTCTTTTCTTTTCTTTCTAAGTTTTCTTTGTTATAATCTTTTATTTTATCGTACATATGGTATGTTTGTGTTTCTTACATTCTAAATACTCAATGACCTTAATTGAGGCAAAATATATTTTTTTCTGTGAATGAAATATTATTAAAATATTTAAAAAAAAAAAATATATATATATATATATATATATATATATATATATATATATATATATATATATATGTATATAGTTGTTCCGCATTAATGTTACCTGTTTAACATAACGTTTATTACAGATTACCTTTGTATTTCTGCTATAATGTATTGGAATTATTTAGATTTGGTTTCGAAGAGAGGCAGTTCATACTAATACTACATGGAGAATAGTCATGTAAAGATATGTTTATATTTGAAATATTTAGGCATATTTAAAGTAAGGAAAATGCCTTGCGTGTTACAAAAACCTTTTTGGTAAAATTAAAAACTGAAATTGCACTTATGTAATCGATTTTACAATTCTCTCAAGAACTGCTCCAACAATCACCTCATCGTTGCATACAAATATTAACTATCGATATTTTGAATTTTGTCCCGCTAGGTTGACCGGCACAGCCCTCTGCGTGACTAGTGATGCGCTGGGCAAAATACTTGCTGCATTAAGCTAGTTGCTTTTATATTATACTAGTAGGCCCGTGCGAAAAATTCGCACAGCATACTGTTATCAAATGCCAAATTAATGAGAAAATGAATTAATGCAACATATCGAAAGATAAAGACATCAAGTGTTACTTTATGGATAAATATAATCCACAAAGGAAACAAAAATCTATTTAAATCTCCATTTTTGTTTGGAACCAACATGTTTACGAATTTCAGTAAGCTGTATCTTTGCAAAAAATTATCGAATTTCGATGATTTTTTTTTCCTTTTGTAGGTAATTTAGTAATTTTTTATATAATCATGGACATAACCAAGGGAACAGTGTGTAATTATTTAGTTATTCGCGAAAAAAGTTTATTTCTTTCATAACTTGTTTGCCTGAATTTTCGAGGTGATTGGACTATTTTGCCCGCCTGAAGGAGGAGGAAGCCTTCGAAATTGGTGGCTCGATCTTCAGATTTAATGAAAAATAACCGATGATATGGCTTGCCGATCAAAAACACCATTGGTAAATAATATAAATTCCTCCTCTCTCGATCATAGAGATCTGAAGTCAATGAAATGAGACATGTTTTCGATGACAGTACTACAATTAATGTAAGGTTGTGTGGATGCGAACCCTATGCCTTGCGTTATCTCGAAAATAGAGCCTTTTTGGACTGAAAAACTCAGGATCCGACAGTTCCTGAGGAACTATCTGGGGCTTGCTGTACGCCTAAAAATCTTCAAGATCCAACTTGTTCCGCATCGATCTACAGACCTACCACCGTTTCAGTATTGAATCCTAGCAAAATGTTTTATCGACTTTATTTATTTTAGAAAGAAAAACAAAAGTGGAGAATACGATTCGCTAACCCCCCTAAAATTTTGAATCCAACGGTACCCCATCCATGGTATTTGAGCATGACAGGAGCTTATATTTGGTACAAAACCGATTTCGAGCCTTACTGTAATAATATATGTGGGATATTAGTGTAGTTTTTATGTTTTGTTTTTCAGTATTTGTATTTAGTCTGATTTGTTCTATATTATTCATATTATTTCTTTTTTGTTTTGTTTTTTACCTTCTTGATATCGTGTTTTCCTAATTCATCGAAAATTTATTCTGACATAGAAGCGTATATAATCAATGAACCGGTTTTTTATTGTTTTTTTTTTTTAACAATTACATACAATTCAAAGCTCACGCGAGTGAAATTACGTTATACAATTAGTGAAACATTAAAGTATCGGTGTAGATTAACGGTATCGAAGGCTCCAAAGAAAGCGGAGTTACATCTGTACGGCCGATTAACTTGGACTGAAAGGACTGGAGGCAGTTATCGAAGCCGACCGCAGCGGCTAGGGAGAGCAATCTGGTTAATTAGAAACATGCCTCCAGTACTCCACTCCAGGAATTAATATGGATGAACCGGAAGGCCCCTGAGCCCCACTTCACGGGCAAGTGAGCAGTTAGGGATCGCTGATGGCCTGGCAACGAGGAGGATCCTATCCGATGGAGTGCTCTCCGCTGGGTTACACAAAGCAACTCTTCAACTTCTTAGTTCCCGGTTCCAAAAAAAATTCAGCTCATGACTAAATTATTAGGACCAGGATGAATAATACAGCAATGGGATGACAATACTCGGTAGTTATTTCAAATTAAATCAAAGTGTATGTTCGGTAAATGTTTGTCTATAAAACGACGAAATTGTACGGTAGGCACTGTTCCATAAAATTTATTAATGCAATTTATTCCTCTTAATAACCATCTATAAGAAAATCCAATGTAGAAAATGAGCTCTAAAAGGTATCCTCTTGACAAGCGTCTCAAGTAAAGCGTATTTAATAATAATGGAATAATACCCGAGACTGTTAAAGGCTGAGGTATCGAAAGGGAGCAACGAGATCGAAAAGTACCAAGATTTTTCGCGGAAATTCGTTAAGCCTGCTCAAGGAGAAAAGGAAAAGTGTAAAGTGATGCTTCAGCGGATTCATCAAAAAGCCTAAATAGAATATGAGTCCTAAAGGAAGATGAGTGAGCGAAGCGTGAGCTAAAGCGAATTCGGCTTCTGACATTTTTTTACCAAAAACAAATCTAAGGAATTTGGGCCATTTTTTTTTTTAAAGAAAAGTTAAATGCAAAAAAATTGTAACATTGTGCATGAAGTATAAAACTTATATGCAAACTAAATTTTTCTTACTACATCCTCCACTTGTTCACTTAGTGTGGTACATTCATCGTGTTTATCTAAATCACTACAAAAATATTTAATTAAGGCAGACCCATGAATAGGACTATTAATGTTACATCCCATCATAAATAGGAAATTCAGCCTAAAGCGAGATACAACCTTCCTGATTTACAAAACTACATTACTGGTGTAAGGTTATGAAGTGTGGAGGGCAGCATCCTGTAGGGAACAAATAAAAAAATAAAAACTTTCCAAAATAAGGTCCTGAAAACTACAATTGCCCTTGGTCAATTATAAACAGTAAAGTAGTTGTGAAATTCAAGTAGTAACGGTAGACAAAAGCTTTAACAACTTAAAGCGTAAGTTGTGAGAATAATGTGAATTATGTATTTTAATTTTTGTTTAAGCTTTATTTATTTCATTATTATTATCAATTGATTCTAAAAATTTTAACTAGCCATAGTTTTCTAGAATGGTTGACGGTAAGAGAGAAAAATGTCGATTAAAAAATAAGTGGGACGACGAAGTAAAGAAGGATTTCCTGAAAAGAGGACTCCAATAGAATGAGTGAAGGCGTTTGGTGGAAGACCGACAGAGCTAAAGAAATCTCTATAGACTTACTCCTAGGCGATACTGGAGGAGAGAATATGATGATGATGGTGATCGTTTCATTGTTACCTAATTCTTATTGATATTTATTTACAAGTTTATATTGTACGATACTGTACCTACCACTTCGCTAATTGCTAAAAAATTTACTTATACACATATATGCCTCAATAAGCCTACCTGGAAATAAATTATTTCAGTTTCTTAATAAGATCGAAAACTATAAAAAATAAAGAATAACCGTAAGCGAACAAAAAACATAATAAGCACTTTAGAAAACAATACAATACACTCAACAACATTTAAGAAATAAGATGCATTGTTACTTTATACTTTATTATTATTATTATTATTTATACTTTATTATTATTATTATTATTATTATTTATACTTTATTATTATAGATATATACGCCCACTCAGTGATGGGCCCACATAGAATGTTTTTTTGATAAAATTCAATGACACAAGGCTGATTTATCTTTAATTAATAAAGTCGTAGTAGTTTAGTGCTATACACTTACCTTGAATCCAGTGGGGCACCAATCCACGAACTGAATGGAACGCTTTGTTTTGATAGTGGCAATTGCTGCGTTAACATCCTTGGGCACGACGTCACCTCTGGAAAATAGAAAGTATACGTGCATTTAATAAATTTAAGGAAGTTATGATACAATTTTCATTTATTTACATTTTCTTTAAAGTCATTTTGAAAACTTAGTATTTGACCACGGTACCTGTATTGAAGAAAGAGATGCACTCAGGTGGCGGTAAAAAAAAAAAATTAATATAGTGGAAACTATTTTATTGAATACTGATGGTTGACCGCATTTTTTTTTTTTTTGTTTTGTCCCCACTCCCTCACCTTTTAGGCTATACGGTGGTTTTCCTGGGCCAGGAGGAAAGGGCGTGGGATTATTGTCAGAGTTAAAAGTCCTCGGGATCGGGAGGCGAAATTATCTTATCATATATCAGGTTTACGGGCAGCGGTGGTGTTGAGCATAAGCCTATTCGGCCACCCGGTCCCTTGCACACACCCCTCTGATGAAGACCAGCAAATTCGAGTCGAAACGTTTACTGTAAATTAAATAGATTTTTCACTATTTTAGTCTCTTTATGACCGCCACCCAAGACCATCTCTTTGCTCGAAACTATTTTATAATACCTATGTTTCGACCCTACTATGCAGGCCTTCATGCATCGTTCTGTTGCAGATAATTATTTTTTTAGTTAAACTGGCCATGGATCGACCTTGGGATCAGGATACCCTTTTGGGCATACTCAGCCTCTTTAAAATGAGATCTTATAATTACATAATAAATTAAGGAGGAAACCCGTAGAGCGTGTTCTGGGACCTATTACCTTCCTGCACAACCATCAGCCTTGAAATAAAATCATACTTTCTTGCAATGTACGGAAGCCATGATCCTCCATGGATTGCAGTGCTTCAGGTCATGTCGCCATAACATGGATTTGACGTGTATACAGATAAATAAAAATAGGTTTCTGGTAAGTTTGGTAGATCCAATCATATTGAGAAAATTTTGTTGTCACGATTTTGTTCAAGAAAGCGTTATACTTGGGTCTGATATATTGAATACAAAATAAGTACGAACTTCTAACGACAAAAGTTGATGGGTTATCGAATATCCATTTGTCATACTTTTATCGAGGCTTGTCTAACTAATTTTTGAAAGGCGGGGATTTGGCCCTTATCACTGCTCAACATGTGATAGCCCTTACATATGAGATAAGTTTTAAGCTTCCTCGAAAACTTGGTTCCATGAGCTATTCATAATCAGTGGTTACTAGCAAGCCGGATCCAAACTCTTGTCTAAATTGCCTACTTAATGCCAAGTTAACGTACTTAGGTCGTTAAGGCGTGAAAGATGGCGTTGTCGAAGATTAAACACAGATTAAGTAGCGTTTGATAAAATAAATGTAATTTCTCTCAAAAATCCTTGTACATAATGAAACCAAATTTAAAAAATAAAATTCCAACCATCAATTGTTCTCTTTAATTTACTTAAAGCGAGTAGATTTACCTTCCTATGTACACATATAAATAATAGCAAAATACTATTATAAAACAAAGAACCAATAAAAACAATTTGAATGGAAAAGATGTACAAAAGTAATTAGTCATATAATACCGATTGATACATAGTAACAATTCTTATTTTTAAACGCCGCCGGAAGTAAAATAAAAACATTTAAACTATAAGGGCCTATATATTCCATGAAGACACCTTATTTAATTTATTTTTAATATTTTAGACTTTACAGATTTTGAAACTGAAGGTCTCATTTGTAATCAATGAAAACATATTGAAGATAACAAAAAAACTAACACCGATATCTTCAAATTGAAGACAACAATTTTTAAAACAAATTTTTAAGGGACCACACGAACTGAAATTTTAAGATAAAGCATCATATGCATTTATTTATTTCATCGTCGTTTGGTTAGCAATGAAATAAAATAATATAAAAAATACTGAACTCCCAGACTTTGCAATTTTTTAACAAAACGACTATAAAATAAATAAATGCATACGATGCTTTATCTTAAAATTTATATATATATATATATATATATATATATATATATATATATATATATATATATATATATATATATATATATATATATATAAATGTTAATTATTCAATTGGGAATAAGGTCACTTATTAATTATTCTATAAACTACTACATGTTCATTGCTTATGTGTTTATTCGACGTTTCGATTACGTTTTTTTTTTTTTTTTTTTTTTTTTTTTAATTAACAACCTCTTTAAATTTTTAAAATAGAGCTTCGATGCCTCGGGCCAGCGACACACCGACAGTCTCAGCACCGTCCACCAGCGCTTATATTAAGCTACTCTTGAGGGTAAAAAAAACCCAGAAAAAAATCGAGATCGAAACGTCGAGTAAACACAAAAGCAATGAACATTTAGTAGTTTATTGAATAATCAATAAGTGACCTTATTCCCAATTATATAATTATGTTTAAATTTAATACTCAAAGATCGATTAAAGAAAAGTTGTAAATATATATATATATATATATATATATATATATATATATATATATATATTATATATATATATATATATATATATATATATATATATATATATAAATTTTAAGATAAAGCATCATATGCATTTATTTATTTTATAGTCGTTTTGTTAAAAAATTGCGAAGTCTGGGAGTTCAGTATTTTTTATATTATTTTATTTCATTGCTAACCAAACGACGATGAAATAAATAAATGCATATGATGCTTTATCTTAAAATTTCAGTTCGTGTGGTCCCTTAAAAATTTGTTTTAAAAATTGTTGTCTTCAATTTGAAGATATCGGTGTTAGTTTTTTTGTTATCTTTAATATGTTTTCATTGATTACAAATGAGACCTTCAGTTTCAAAATCTGTAAAGTCTAAAATATTAAAAATAAATTAAATAAGGTGTCTTCATGGAATATATAGGCCCTTATAGTTACTTTATATATATACTTATATATAAATAATAATAATAATAATAATAATAATAAGGCTTAGCGAACCCGAAGGTTCGATGCCGACACCACCAATCGCTTGTTACACACCTCCCTCCACCGTTCGCCGTCCAAACCCAGTCCCTTCAGATCAGCTTTAATGCAATCTTCCCACCTTCGCTTCGGTCTACCCCTCCGACGCTTACCATTCGGCACAGCAAATATTAACCTTTTAGGAATTCTCTCGTTACTAAGCCCAACAACTTTACAAGCCCATTTGATTCGCCGCGATGAAATTACCTCAATTATATTACCCGGATATAGCTCACGCAATTCGGCGTTGTGTAACCGTCTGAACTCTCCGGTTAACTCATCCTTCTTCGGTCCGAATATTCTACGCAATACTTTATTTTCAAAAACCTTAAGACGCTGCTCATCCCTTAACGTAAGCGGACAAGTTTCGCATCCATAAAGAACTGTAGGCAAGATAATTGTTTTATAGATTCTAATTTTTAAGTTTCGGGACAAGAGAAGCGAACTGAGTAGTTTTGTCACAGAAAAATAACAAGCATTTCCCGCCTTCAGTCTAACTTTAATCTCTTCTTCAATTTCGTTTTTTCTAGTTATCGTAGAACCTAGATACCTAAATTTATCTACCTGTTCAAAGATATTACCATCTATATCGATATCACCAGTAGTATCGCCATTTTTGCAGCTAACCATATATTTTGTTTTATCCACGTTTATTTCGAGTCCTAGTTCTTTACCGGCTTTCATTAACGTTGTCGTATTTAGTTTTATAGTTTCAACGTCTTCGCTTAACAGTACCAGATCATCAGCATAGCCCAGCACGGATGTTGTCCCGCCCAGATCCAACCCTTTCTCGGTACGCATTACCTCCCTAATGGCATGTTCTAATGCCAAATTGAACAGGACAGGCGAAAGAGAATCCCCCTGTTTTAAGCCCGAACGAACCTCAAATTTTTCGGACAAATTATTACCGCTTCTAACTTTATTGAGTGTCTCCGTCAAGCACATCCTGACTAGATTTACTAGTTTTTTTGGAATCCCCTGCTCGATTAGAATATTATACAGTTTCTGGCGGTCAATAGAATCGTAAGCCTTTTTAAAATCTATATACAGCTGGTGAACAATACCGTTATACTCCAATCTTTTCTCTAATATTTGCCGTAAAGAAAATATTTGATCAATAGTCGAGCGATTCCGTCTAAATCCGCATTGGTAGTCTCCGATAATTTCCTCGGCGTATTCCGTTATTCGACTGGTTAAGATTAAAGTGAATATTTTATAACATACCGGAAGGAGTGAAATTCCTCGATAGTTATTACAATCCGTCCTCGGACCCTTTTTGTGAATCGGAATAAGAATGGATTCTTTCCATTCTTCAGGTAATTTCTCGTTCACCATATACTTATATATATAAAAATAAAATAAAATAAAATATATATATATTTTATATTATATATATATTACAAAAATATATATCTCAGGTCTTATGTATATATATATATATATATATATATACATATATATATATATATATATATATATATATATATATATATATATATATATATATATATATTTTATTTTATTTTATTTTTATATATATAAATATATATATTATTTTATTTTATTTTTTTGGTCAATTCAAGTAGTAGTCTAAAAACATTTTTTCCAGTATTTTAAAATAGAAATCGATTTTATAAATTTTGCATTTATCATGGCTTCCATAATTTCGTAATTTTTTTTGTTTGTTTTTTTTATTGATTTACTGAGTATTGATTTGTGAGAAATTGTTTTTATTATATAACCTGTTTATCCGTGAAAAGCATTTGGGTTCGTATAAAGAACAGTAGGTAGAGATCTACTATGGGTTATAGACAAAGCAGTTATAATACACCTATAAGTATCTACCACATAATCAGGTATGGTCAATAATGAGCATCTACCTTCTTATAACATGGGCATGTATCTACTATATAACCAGGCAAGGTTAAACATATTTCTTTTTATATAAAATTATGTTTATACAATAATATGATTAAGGTAAATGTAGCATACCTGTAAAGCATACAGCAGGCCATGTACTTGCCGTGCCTGGGGTCGCACTTGACCATCTGGTTTGCAGGCTCGAAGCAAGCGTTGGTGATCTCAGCGACGGTCATCTGTTCGTGGTACGCCTTCTCGGCCGAGATGACAGGTGCGTAGGTGGCCAATGGGAAGTGGATCCTGGGGTAGGGCACCAGGTTCGTCTGCAACAGAGCATTACCATTAGCAACTCGATCCAGGATATTGGAACCTCCAGCTTCAAAGGGGACACGGCTATTGCATTTACTGGAGTCTAATGGTGAGATATTCCTCATCAATCGGTTCGAAATTGGATTTGGTCTTAAAATAGATTAAGCTTATTCGAAATGTTCTTTTATTTTTTTATTATTTTTTTTATTTTTTTTATTTATTGTTTTATAAAACTATAACTTAAAACTATTTGTCAACATTATTCCTTCATGCGTGGATAATGTTCTTGCTTTCTTAGCCTCTTTAACTTCCAGTTCAATCGGTATTATCGTCATCAATTTCCTAAATGTCACATAGAATATTTGGAACATTTTTTTCTCTTTATACTTTTTAAAAATGTCTGCTAGTAGCATCGAGATCTATGATTTTGCTTTAGACAATACATGACGTTAATATTATAGTATTATATTTCAGTATTTTTGTCTGAACATTTTTGAAGTATTTAAATATATTTCCAAGAAGAAATGTACTTTTCATTTGTAAAAGATAATCCTTGACTAACAAACTAAAAGCAGAAATTAGAAAATTTGAAGCTCAAAAATTACCTAATCTAACTGAAAAACTTACAACCACTGACAACTCACTATGGATGACCACAAAAAAACTTCTCAAGTTTCAAAACTTTAATCACCCACTACTAACTGATTCCCAAACCTGTTCCAAATCCTACGAAGAAAAAGCCCAAATATTTGGTCAACATCTCTACCAAACTTTTAACCCACATCCCGATATCCTTAATTCAACTCACATCGATTGTATTGAAGCAGAACTGGATATTCCTCTCCAAATGTCCATTCCACCCAAAACATTTCATCCCATAGAAATATCCAACATTATTACCCTCCCGTAAAGCTCCTGGATATGACCTAATTACAACTCAGATCTTAAAACTTCTTCCCCGAAAAGCCATCCTATTCCTTATTTACATATATAATGCTGTACTCCGTTCCAAATATTTTCCTGATCCTTGGAAACGATTTATTATTAAAATCATCCACAAACCCAAAAACATCGGAATACCCATCGTCTTACCGTCCTATCTCTCTTTTACCCATCATGGGCAAAGTCCTAGAAAAACTTATCTCAAAACGCCTGTACCCCATCCTAAATTCGAAACACATAATCCCAGATCACCAATTTGGATTCCATACTTCCCATTCCACTATCAGCAATTTCATTGTATGGTATACGTAGTCCCCTCTGCATTGGAGCGCGGAATGTACTGTACGGGAGTCTTTCTCGACGTTGCACATGCTTTTGATAGAGTTTGGCACCCGGGACTGTTGTACAAACGCCGAAAATTCCTACCAATTACATTCTTCCTCATTATCCGTTAGTACCTTACTGATAGATAGATTAAAGTAAATCACAAGAACGTCTATTCATCTTTTTTTCCAGTCCGCTGGTGATCCTCAAGGTATTATATATATGTATCCTAGGTCATTTCCTTTAAACAGTTTATACAGCTGACATCCCTACCTATCCCAACACTGTCATCACCACATATGCCGATGACACATGTATCCTATCAGTAAATAATGACCCAGCAATTGCATCCCAAATGGTTCAATCACACATCATAAATCTTGAAGATTGGTGTCAAAACTGAATAATTATAATAAACTGCAATAAATCCCACAAAATTGTCTTTACCCTTCGTCGTAAACCAATGACTTCCTATCCTACAGGTTCCTTTAACAATACTCCACTTATCCCTGTTGAGCAAATCCGTTACCTAGGACTCCACCTGGACAAACTACTAACTTGGAATCCTCCTACTAGACTGGAAAGACAAGAAACCGATCGACGTTTCCGATTACTTCAGCACTTACTAGACAAACGCTCTAAACTTCCAATTAATTACAAAAGACTCATATACATGACTATAATAAGGCCTATTTGGACTTACGGAGTTGAGCTATGGAGCTCCACTAAACCATCGAATTCCTCTCGTATCCAATCCTTACAATCCAAAATCCTTCGTAAAATCCTTAATGCTTCCTACTTTGTCACAAATAAAACCATCCATAATGACCTTAATGTTTCTTTTGATTCAGATCTGGCCCAATCCAGATACCTATCCTTCAATAATAAACTTCAGAACCATCCGAACCCTTTCGCTTCTAACCTTCCTTCCTCTTCAATTCCTGATAACCCTCCGAGGCGTCTGAAAAGAAGATGGCCTCGTGATCTCCTAGTGTAGACATATCGCTAGAGTGCTACCTACCATTGGGTATTTTTTCAGCAAGTGTTTTCATGTCATTATGTCCATTTGTTCAAATTTACTAGATGTATCTATTTAATACAGTTGTGAATATCATTAAGAAATAATAAAAAAACACGAACAAAACAAATCAATTATTTATACTTTTTATAACTAATCAAGATATGATTAACGCATTTACATAGACCTCTTTAAGCCAACTGTTTTATAAATAAAAAACCTTTTTCAGAAAAATTATTATTTTCTTCTCATTTTAACCTAGGCCGTAAAAGCCATTTTCAAACTATTTAAAAATATATATTTTAGTTTTAAAAGAAAGCCATAAACAACTTACATGGTGATTATGTCATTTGATTGGTTACATTTTGATTTTGATATGATTTTTATGATTGATATGATATGAGTTTTTTAGAGATTTTGGCAATCTATGTAAAAGATTCCTAAAACTAATATTCCCCTACATACGATTACGGAATTTTCCTCTAATTCATATATTAAAACATCTCTTAAGCTTTACCTTCTACTATATTAAGATTCTAGGCAGCACAACACTTATGTCAAATAGATTTGGTATGAGGCTTTATTGTTCAGGTTCCTTAAATAATGAATGCGGTTTTACCAGATTTTGCAAATGAGAATTTATTCCGTGCTTTGCAGTACTTTTTACTTTAAATAATATTGCATAGGTAAGTATTACGATCGTGAAAATTTTTTAATACGAGTTTTTACGGAAATATATGTTTTAAGGTCTCCTAAATCCAAATAACCAAGTCCCAGAAAATGATCTGTGTGTGTGTGTGTGTGTAAAAAAAATTCATATTTAAAGTTATTGGAGTGCTACCAATGGGTAGTTTCTCCTCATGTTGTACATGTCCTATTACTTGTTCATATTTACTTGTTGTATTTATTATTAATTACAGTTGTAAATTTCGTTAATTAAAAAAATATATATATTTAAAGTTTAGACAAAAACGTAACTGACGATTTGGCCGGTTATACAGACTAATTATCAGAAAATCTAATCTATACAAGACCATACTGAACCCATCTGGACCTACGGACAATAGTAAATGCTCCTTGTTCTGTTGCAAACAATTCTCTAGATTATGGTATTAACACCCCTTATGTCCTAGATGTTATTCCATCCGTTTCGCAAATTTTCATCAAAACCTAATCCATCATCCTAATCCCTTAGCACAATCCTTATCCAGCCCCAGCCATTAATACAATCCTCTTCGAAGGTTAAAAAGGCAGTGGCCTCTAGATCTTTTTTAAATACGTCAATGGAGTCCTGGCAATGGCCAGCTTTTCCACTCAAGTCATGAGCATATGTGGCTTTAGTGCCCTTTCTCAGTGATGCCCTTTATCCCAGCGCTGGGATCTCTAAGAGTCTTGCCTTATTTTCCACACTTGGGGTAAGGGCCTGACTAGGAGCTCCCTCGGCTGACTGTAAATATGCATGAATGTTTTTTTTTTTCTTATTTATTCATTTTATTTAATTTTTGTTGTATCACATTTTATTTCATCTGTTTTACTAAGCTTTCTTTTTCTTATTTTTGTTTTGATTTATATTATTTTTGTAATTGTGTATCTCGTATGAATGAGTTTCTCACATCTCAAATACTAAATGCCCTTGATTGATGCAAAATGTATTTTTATCAATATAAAAAATATTTAAGGTTTGTATATACCTTGGATGTTACGGCAATTTTTTATCCAAAATCGATTTACCGGAAGTGGACTTTTATTGAACATATTTTTAAGATTTTCTAAAAAAAAACTGCTTAAATGATTTTGGTTATACTCAGTATGTCAGTGTATCATTAAGCCGTTTTTAAAATAGTGTAGGTTTTATTCTCATTAGATGTTCTCTAACAGGGCTTAAATGGCTAATTCTCAATATTAGCTTCCTCTAAAGTATCTTTTTTTTTATTTGAAATAATTAACCATTTAACATTAATCTTTTTTTTTCTTCTTTTGTTTTTAATTTATGATATTTACAACTGTATTACAAGTAAAAATATATTCAGTAAATGTGAACAAAAGAATATAATAACATGAAATCACTTGTTGAGAAACTACCCACTAGTAGCACTCTAAAAATGTATTTACAAAAGGAGATCTCGAGGCCATCTTCTTTTCAGACGCCTCGGAAGGTTGTCAGGGATCGAAAAGGAAGCAAGGTTAGAAACGAGAGGGTCAGGATGATTCTGAAGTTTGTTATGGAAGGATAGGTTTCTGGATTGGGCCATGTCAGAAGCATAAGGAACATTAAGGTCGTTATGGATGATTTTGTTTGTGACAAAGTAAGGAGCTGTGAGGTATCTTTAATAAAAAAAGTAGTTAAATATAAAATATGAAAGAATTTGATAATTAACTAAAGGAAAAATAAAAGATCGTAACGGTTAATGGTTGAAATGGAGGAACCAAAGGAATACGAGTGTACCCGAGCTCCTCTGTAACATTATAACAGGTTTCTCTACGTAACATGAGTTTAATATCATACGGACCCCGACATAATTATGTACATATACATATACGGTTTTCATAAATCCTATAGTTGGTATTATTTAATATTTAATTGAATAGATTACAGCGATATAAAAATTTAAAAAAAATTATATATATATATATATATATATATATATATATATATATATATATATATATATATATATATATATATATATATATATATATATATATAAGGATAGTTAAATAAATAAAAAT